TATGCCTGCAGCTCATTTGCAAGGCATACTGACTCTCGTCCACAAGAAGGGGGCGAAAACGCAAATTCGAAATAAGCGGCCGATTACTCTGACGACGACCCCGTACAAAGTAGTGTCCCATATGCTAGCCAATCGTATACAAGCAGTGTTTTCCACTCTCATCCACCCTGATCTGACAGGATTCCTGCAAGGAAGGCAAATTCTAGACACTGTTATGGTCGTCTGTCAAGGAATAAAATATATAAACCGGTTAGAGATGTCGGTTGGGGTTCTCCTTCTTGATTTTGAAAAAGCCTACAACGGTGTGAACTGGGACTTCCTTTTTTTGTTCTTAGAAAGGCTCAACTTTGGTTCAAAATTCATATTATGGACTAAGTCCTTGTTCTCTGGGGCCACTACAAAATTGCTCATAAACGGAAAGCTATCAGATTCAATGATTCTCACATGTTCAGTTCGACAAGGGTGCCCTTTGGCACCCGATCTCTACATAATCTATGTGGAGGCGTTGCATGCAATGATCCGTGCAGACCTGCGAATAACAGGACTGCGTTATGCTCCTCATCGAGAGGCCAAAGGCCAATCTTTCGCAGACGATAAATCTCTTTTTTTGGCATTAGAAGACAGTGTTTTTCTGGCATTAAAGGAAGTGATAGACTGTTTCACAGATGCGGTGTCAGAGGCAAAAGTTAATTGGCAAAAGACAATTCTTTTAGTCCCCTCTCACTGCCCACCTCCAGTTCATTGGGGGGCTCAAGCCGCACACCCGGCAGAAGCACACGGATTATTGGGCTATCACATCTCATTTGATGGTCACATAAGTCAGTCACAATAACAGATAGTGGCAAAAGTTCACGGTACTCTGCAATCCTGGGTTAAAGCAAAGGGGGTGGCATTATACGGTCGTGCATTAACCCTTAATAAATTAAATGCTGTATTTTCCACAATATGGTATGAGCACGCCATATGTGCCTTACATCCGACTGTCTATAGCTATATAAAAAGAGCAGCAACGAATTACATTTGGAAGGAGAATACAGGGGAACATAACTTTCTGCCAAATGTGGAGTGGACTAAGATCATTCAGAAAAAGAGGCTGGGTGGTTTGGGTGTACTGGACCCCGACTTGCATATCCAAGCTATGCTCACCAAATGGCCCATTCGTCTCTTGTTCGCAAAACAAACAGCCACGTCGAAAGCAATTGCTCTATCCTTATTAACTGCAGACCTTAATTTTGCTGCCTCTCCTGAAGTAGTATACCTTGCTCTCTTTACTGATGAATTCTGTCGAAAAAGGCCGGTATCCCCAATGTGGAGGGGCATAAAAAAAAGACTTTTCTAGTAGTTTCTTGTCTCATTTTCCGATGAAGTTGGTACCAGGTCTTTTCTAAAATTTCCAACTTTTCCATGGCCTTGCTCAGTCAATCCCCTGGATTCCAGGGTAATCAATGCTGGCAAGGATCCTCGAAGCTGTTTTCCGCATCATAATTTGTATATGGGACGCTGGACACGCTTTCCAGCAGGTGATGCTCCCCACCAATAGATGGAGCCTCTTCCCGGGTGGTAGCGGTGGCTGCTCTTATCAGCACCTCTATCACCCGGGGGGCGTTAAAAAAAAAAAAAAAAAAAAAAAAAAAAAAGGAGGGGCATCCAGGCTGGGATCTTGAAGACAAATCCTACCCGAAAGGCTTGCACCTGTTTCTCACAACTATGACATAATTCTTACCCAACCTCTCTTTAACAATCCCCATATTATTCAACAGTCGGACGGACAACCGTTCCCAATCCTTGGGGAGGGTGCATTTGGCCAAGCCTGGATGTCAAAAGGAGTGGCTACCATTTCACAGTTATGGGATAGTGACAACAAAACTTGGAAGACTTCTTTTTATAATTTGGACCATTTCTCGATTTATGCGTGTCATCCTTGCGCAGGGGCCATGCTAATCTTCTCTGTATCGTTCCAATTTTAACGGATGTTCCGAAGGACAAGTGGAGACTTTAATTAACAGCAAAACAACAACAATTATGTTCGACCAAAGAACCAAAACAGATGTTGAAATAAAACAGGATCTCCTTCTCCTGCAGGATCAAAAAAAGTGGTATTAAAATTTCTATCAGTTAATAGCATAGTAATAGCACCTGCTAATACTGGCGGCATAATTATGCATGCCTTTTAAAAGCCATTCCTCCAGATTGGCTCGCAGTATTGCAGGAAGAACGTTACGGTTCAACGAAGATTCGGTAGAACAGTCGGAGCAGTTGTGGGGGCTAGAATCGCAGAGTACTCTCTCCACTTGGGAACTCACGACTCGAGCTGGAAAGGGAAAGATGGATACAATGGACTGGGAATGCCGTTGCAGAAGAAGACTGTGAGTTCTATCACTTCCGACCTTCAGGGTATGACTGCTGTCTGTGTGCTGGAAGATGTCAAGACTCTGCACTCAGAGTATCTGCCCTTCAGACTGAACACAGCAGCAAAAGACTTGATAATAGACCCTCGTGATTGGTTTTGGAAGAACCCGAAGAAGCCTGACCAGATGGTCCCTCTTTTTCGTCTTTCGGCACAATTGGCTTAATATTCATTACTTACCCCTGCTGTTGACATAGATACCAAAATAAACTGCCACATGGCGTTCACTGGGAGTACATCTTGACACAGTCAGACTCAAGCCTTTCTGGACTCTACTGCCAAGGTTGAGAGTGGCAAAGCATGCAGGACTCTTGTGGCTCATTACACATAATGCTGTTCCGACAGCGGCAATGGTGTATCGACGCAGGAAAAAGGGAGCACCTTTTTGCACAGCGTGTACAGCGGCCTACTATTTGGTGGAAGACCAACGCCATCTATGGTTCACCTGTGACAATGCTCGACCAATATGGGTACAGTGGAGACAAGCTAATTTAACTCCGGATGAATGGGGGGAGCTATGGACTGACGATACAATATTACTGCCAGTGGTACTATCTTGCAATCTCTGTCTGCCAAAATCCAGAGCCTATGTATATGAGTCGCTGCGAGCAACAGTACTATGGCCTTTGTAGAAACAGAGAAATGATGTGGTACGTTCTGGATATTATCTGCTTTCAAAAAAAAAAAAAAAAAAAAAGTGGTACGTTCTGGAGACAGTTCACCAGGTCATGCACAGGATCAAACAAACTGTGCGGCAAATCATAACCAATTCAATTACCTGTCAAATCTGGACAGGACGGCCTTTCAGGGCCTTTTTTATTGTCATTATAGTATTACGGGGACTCAAGCCTCCAACGAGGGAACATGCGGGAGCTGCACCCACCACCAGGTGGACGATACCGGCCAGGGGTCAGCCGGTAGCATCAGGACCGAGCTTCTTCGATGGGCCAGTCACTGTGCCTCCCCTCCGGTCCCCTCCCCCTATGAACATCAGCAGTCTCTGCTCAATGCCACTCGAGCTTCTTCGATGGGCCAGTCACTGTGCCTCCCCTCCGGTCCCCTCCCCCTATGAACATCAGCAGTCTCTGCTCAATGCCACTCGGGGGGACCAACGACATATCTCTAGGTGGCGGGCGCCAAGCTTGTTCAGGAAGGTGCATGAGGCCAATGGGGATTGAACCCAAGACCTCCTCAATGCCACTTGCGTGCCTTACCAACTGAGCTAGGCCGCTGGATAGATGTCTGCTTTTTGACTTAGCATGAAGTCATCATTTCTTTTTTTCTTTCTGTTCCTTGGTTGTTAGCGTAGAAAATTATTGGTTGGTTATTCCTTTATGTCTTTTTCATATCCTTCTCCTCCTCATTCCTCATTTCTCATTTTTCGTGTCTGTTTATTGGAAGACCTTTTATCACAGGGGACAGGCTCCACTTGCTGAGTGAAAGTTGGAGACCTCGAGGCCCCTGAATTTGAAGCCTTCATTTTCATTGTTACCCTTGCCTTGGGCACTGTGCCCGCAATTGAAGGATATCATTTTTTGGAAAAAACAAAACAAAACAAAACAAAACGAAGGGGAAAAGAGGTACCAAGCTCTGAAAGTGATTGCCCTCAGATACATCCACTGCTGCAGTGAAGTGCAGCGAGATACATTCTGGAAAGTGCTACGTCACAGTGAAGCCCTGGAATTGAAACGGTTGGCACGCATTGAATGCTGGGAGCAGATGCAGAAACGGTAGAGATACTGCTTCCAAAAAAAAAAAAGGGAAAAGAGATACCAAGCTCTGAACGTGATTGCCCTCAGATACATCCACTGCTGCAGCGAAGTGCAGCCAGACACATTCTGGAAAGCGCTACGTCACAGTGAAGCCCTGGATTGAAATGGTTGGCAAGCATTGAATGCTCCACGTCTCTCACGGGGAGCAGATGCACAAACGGCAGAGATACTGCTTCCCAAAAAAAAACAAGAAAAAAAAAACAAAGGGGAAAAGACTCAAAAGAGATACCAAGCGCTCAGATTCATCGACTGTGTCCCACAACTGCAGCCAGATACATTCTAATAAGTGCTAACGTTCCTGAAATCCAAAGCGCTGGCGGGCACTTGTGAAAAACCAGTTTTCTTCAAAAAAAAAGAAAAAGAAAGAAAAACAACAATCTTTTTTTTTTTTTTTTTTTTTCTCATGTGGCAGTTCCTTTTCTTTTCTCTTTTCCCCCTCGTCACCTTCAGCCTCCCCTCGTTTCCACATCGCACAGCACCAGGACATCTTACAGTCCATCATTTGCCCCTTTTCTGTGTGTGAATGTGAAAGAGAAAGATGACCTGATTCTCTTGAACAGTGAACACACAACTGTGTAAAACCACAGCGCACTCTGTGTGTAACCAATCTCGAAAACCTACTTGCATGTCCTCCTCCATCGCACTGCCGTTTCTGCGGGCCCACGATGTCCTCCATCACACTGTCGAGCCTTCCCCGAACCCCCGAAAACTGCGGCGACGTTAACGTCGAAGGCGCGCGGCCCATGTTTGGGCCAAGTACTGGTGGTTAAAGGACGCCGGACCCGCGGGAGCAGCAAATATGGACCTCTTTTCGGCCAAAAAACTCGGTTTCAATTTTGTTAAAAACAAAAAAACAAACTGTCCATTTTGACAAAATGGCAGTTTAGCAGTGCTGCCTTTGGGCTCATTCGCTGATGTTGACACGTCCTAAGTGGCCAATTTGAAAACAGAAGTTCTCTGATTGGTTTTGTGACCTGCGGCACACACACACACACACACACACAAAAAAAAAGAAAAAAAAAAAGACCTGCGGCACATTTTTTTCTCCGTTTCGGGGGATTCCGAAATGGTTACTGTAACAAAGGTTTTATCGCCGGATTGGTTTTAACTTTTAACTTTTAAATTTTAATATGTCTTTTCCCTTGTTTTTTTTCGGCTGCCAGTACAATAGCTGGGCCAAGTACTGGTGGTGCACTCTGAGACTTGGAGTTGTCAGGCTTTGCTGCATTGGACTTACTACAGTCTTCCCCCGAACATAACGCACCCTGAAAATGAATGTATACAGACCATCTTTCCCTCCAGCGACAGTCAAAACGAGGGTGCGCTGTGTTCGGGGGAAGAAGGTAGTCTCCATTGTGACTAAGCTGCTTGCAAACCTTTCTGGCTATGGGCCTATGGCTGTGAGCCGGTGGAAGAAATGGTACGATTCATCCATTGGCAAGGGCATCAAGATGCTCATGGACAGTCGGAGCACAGACGAAACTTGGCGAAAGCGTACGGATATTGCCGTTGGTAGAAGTTTCGAAACGACTTTCTGCGCATGGAGGAGTGTGTGCATGGAGCAGATCCTTTGAGAACAAAGTGATGGCCATCGAAGAAGTCTGTTGAGTACTCCCGGTATCCTTCAGTCGGGATGAACCCGGGAAATGGACCGAACAGTGTGCTTGTCCATTCCCATCCACCCTCCTCCAGCTCCCTTATTACCTCCTTCGTTGCCGAGGTGTCGGCGGTGGTACCGGAGGAGTCCGCTATAGTCCTCGCATACTCCGCTTCTGTCATGATTCTGCATTTCCCCACCCATGCACAGAACGCCATGGCCTCTGACAAACTGACATAGACAGGCCGGTCTGCCACATCCCTCCAATGATACGTCCCGACGTCATCATGGATGAAGAAGTCGAGATATTCTCCTCCGAAGACTCCCGACGCATGTTTGCCGGCCAGTTCGCCCCCTTCAACACATTTGCGGCCATTCAAAGTCACAGCTTCTGAGCCCGTGCACAAAGCTTCATCACTTTCAGATTCATTGCAATTGTTATTGTGATCAAGCGCCTGATCACTGGATGGCACCCCTTGGTCGATGACTTGATGATCTGCAATCAAAGAGTCTAAGTCCACTAACCTGTTGCCAGTTCGTCCTGCAGACCCCGTAACAACAGCTGATACTGGGGGGACCACAGCTGTCCACGTGGCCGGATAGCATTGTCCCCTTGCTTTGAAGTGGGCGTAATCTTCACAATCCCAGAATTCTGGCCGGTGATAACCCCTACCTTCGAGAATGAACTCACGGAACTCAGCGATTGTGACGGGCCGAGACGCCACGAGAAACGGCCTTGCCACCTCCGTCAACATCTGCGGGCACTCGTTGTCCCACAGGAAGCGGTCCGGCAAACTGTTGTCTCCCAAGCACACTGGGCCAGCAGATATTCGAACGTCAGGACGCCGAATGGTCATAGAATTTCCAGCAACCTCCTTGTCGCCGCTCACCAGCTTGGGAAGGTGCTTATGGGACCAAACATTTTCGTTAGCCGGGCTTAGCCTAGGGTCGGCGGCAACTTGCAAGCTGCCATTCAAGAGGGATTCCACACCCTTCTGCATTGACAATACCCTCTCCCCCTCCTCCTCCTCCTCCTCCTCCTCCTCCTCCTCCTTCCCCCCGTCCTCCTCCGGCTCATCCTTTGCTGGCCGCTCCATCGGTGATATCAAGGTGGGGGGTGTTGCAGTCAAGGAGGGCAGGTTCTCCTTCGGTTCGTGTCCCGCCGTTTCCCGGACGAAACTTTTTCCATCTCCATAATGATTGAGATCTGTAACATCTGTTCCCTCGGACATTGTTTGTCGTGTTGCGTAGGTCGTCAGCACGGACTCAAATTTTATCCTTCGCTTTTGCGCCAGCATGTAGCAAAGTGTCTCTTGGTGCATTCTCTCATGCTCTATCGACATGGCTACCTGATGGCCAAGCATAGAAAAATATACAATGGTTAACATGGATGCCACAATCACAGACCCGGAAGACCATATCTTCTTATTCTTCTTCTTCCAGGACTTTTTTTTTTTTTTTTTTTTTTTTTTTTTTCAGATTTTGAATCTGATGCTCAATAGAGAAAAACATCGTGACGAAAAAAAACTGAAATGAGATTTTGAACTGGATTTCGAACGACAACACATTGATCGAGTAATTTGCGTTCCAGCGCACTCAAAAAAAAGTTCGAAAGGGTAATTTAATTAAAAACAGAAAACTACCTGACGATGGCCATAACTTGCAGTAGTCAAATTTCGTCGAGAACAGGCATCAACAGGACGTCGACAAGCACTTCGAAAGATATTGACGACCAGACAAAACAGTAGGGACAAGAGAGAGAGAGAGAGAGAGAGAGAGAGAGAGAGAGAGAGAGAGAGAGAGAGAGAGAGAGAGAGAGAGGGAGGGAGGGAGGGAGGGAGGGAAAAACGTTGTCAAGAAATCGGACTCCTGGGCCGTCGTCCCAACGCATTAGCAAAGAGCATTGGATTTAATGCCTGAATCTTGACGTGTTTAAGGACAGGAGCAGGAAATCGAGATAGAACTGCTTTTCTGTATCTCTGCATAAAACATAGCCAGATTCAGAATTTCTATCCTATCCCCTTCGCTAGTGGGACCACGGCCCTGGAGGGAGATCCCACTACCGATGTATGTGGATAGTGTTTAAGGTGTGTGACTGTCAGGCATCGTGGATTTGGCATGAAATCAGCGGTAGCCTGTTTCTGTGAATTAAGCCCGGGAAAAGGATGTTTTCTTTTGCTCTCCCATTGGTAGGTTTTTCTTTTGTTTTTGTTGTTGGGGTCTTGTGGCTGTCCCAAACGTGCGTGAAATCACAACGGTTACCAAGATTTTTGGTTCGTGAAATCACGCACGCACGTTGCACACTCACGGTGAAGGCAAAGACGAATGACTTCATCGCTGGAAATTGATTGTGGTTTGGGAGGTGTTTGGGAGGGTTCGATCCCCTCACCTACTGCAAATGGTGTATGGAGTTACTCTTTTTTTTTTTTTTAACAACAACCCGGGATGGAGTTACTCTTGCCCTCCTTTGCCGAAGAGAGTTTAACTTTCTGTCAGAACAACAGAACAGCGTGCACTGCGGCCTATTTCAAGGAAGCCTCAGGGCCTCGCCACACAGCCTGTCGAAACGCGAAAACGACAAAAATGTGGCAGGTGCATCTGGCCATGTTCTAGAGTGAAGTTCATTCTCGTTTTGCACATTTCGACAGCCTGTGTGGCGAGGCCCTCAGACTATTCTCAATGAATATGGTCCGTGTGCCCACTCACATGCAGTCATCTTGACTGCCACAGCCATGGTCAGTGAATCGTACTCTGACATCTGACCCCCCCGCCTGGAGCAGACACCCACCTGCCCCCCACCCGTCCCACACCCGTCACACTAATCCACATACATGGCTAGTGGGACCTCCCTCCTGGGGCTAGGTCCCACTTACACGAATTAAGAGATATTGACCGTAGATAGCACAGATCAACGGTCAGAATCTGGTAATCCGTGCAAGTGGGACCTTGCCCCTGGATGATTTTCATTAGGGGTCCTCGAGAGTTCAAGCTCAACAAAAACTTGTTAAAAAGTGCTTTTTGGTGCCCTCCCCTTTTCTTGCAACAGTTGTGCATCTAATGCAAATCTTTTTTTTTTTTTTTTTTTTTTTTTTGGGACACCTAATGCAAATCATAACCTAGGACACTTGTTTTTTTTTTTTAACATCCTCGGGGACTACCGCAGAGGGTAGTATGAGCATCCCCCTGTGGTACCCTCTGTCAGATGACTCCTTTCTATTTGTGGGGAGTCGCACCTGCTGGAAACCACGTCCAGCGTCCCTTAGGGCGAGATCCCACTGGCAAAGAGGATTGCAGTAAGCGTCTGAATGTGGACGTGGTCGTGGACAGGTGCCAAAAATTGTGATTGATCTACTTTTCTGCACCTCTGCGTGGAACACGTCCAGATTCAGACACTTCTTCCAATCCTCTTTGCCAGCGGGATCGGACCCTTATTCAGAGTTTATGTCAATAAGTGAAAGCAGGGCTTTTTTTTTTTAATTAATTGATTTATTTATTATTATTATCACTCACCCTGGACATCTTTGGTGTCCCACACGCCAAAGCTCGCATGACGAGGTCCCTTGCAGTTCTCACATAGTCAATTACGACAGCCTTGTATGGCCACTCCTCAGGGACGGGCGAATGTGGATGACAGACGTCGGGATCTGTACACAGCGGGTTGATTCCCCTTGCAAACATTATATCCATCGGAGAAGCGCACTCTTCAGGTACAAGACGATGCTTTGTAAAAGCAATCGTATGTCCACTGCATCAAACGAGCAACAGAGACAAGAGAATGGTCATGACGGTTGGCATAGGGCCGCTATAAAATGAGCAGTACTAGGTTAACCACATGGCCACCAGGACACAAGTTCTGGCTCAAAAAGTATCGACATAGCGAACTGCATTTTTTTTTTTTTTTTTTTTTTTTTTTTGGGTCAAACATCTAACAGGGACAAAAAACACAAATTGAATGGGCATTAACATTAGTAGAGGGCTATACAAGAGGTAGGCGAGCCGCATAACCGCAAAGACAAGTTCTGGTTTAGTAGGTTTCCCACATAGCCACACATCCAAAGCTGGCTAACCACATAGCCACAACTGACTATCCACGTAGCCCCCAAGGTACAGCTGGCTAGCCACATAGTACCCACCTATACACATGTCAACCTCTGGCTTACCCCACATGGCCGTAGTGGGCTAACCACGTAGTCGCCAAAGCATATTAAGCCCTTGCACGACCTGCACCACGTAGTCGCCAAAGCATATTAAGCCCTTGCACGACCTGCCTCGTCACCTATAGACACCTCCATTTAGCTACCGTCTTCACCCGAATAAAACGCCCGGTCATTCTCGCTGCATCTGGTCTGAAAGTTGCCCCAAATACAGCTAGTATATTGACCAGGCGTTCTATTCGGGTGAAGATGGTAGCAGCTAACTCCATAGCCACCAAACATAGAGGACCTCGCTAACCACATCGCCACACCTACATAACTGCATATATAGTATATATTAGTATAATATTACTCCAACTACTAGCTATTTTTAGTCTTCATTTCGTTGGCATATCCTTAATACTATTAGGCGCTATCAATTGCATGGAACCAGAACTGGCTTAGCACAAGGTCATGATAATGATTGGTACTGATGATGATGATGATGATGATGATGATGATGATGATGATGATGATGATGATGATGATGATGATGACGACTGATATGATGGTAACAAAGAACGACAGAACGTCACATAAGTAACTGACAGTGTATGATCCTGCCGAGTTCTTTAATGCAAATTTAAACTAGACTTGATTGAATGCCATTCAAAGCAAATCAAGATCATTCTGAAGTGGAGTGAGACCAACAAATTGAATAGAAGAGAACGAAAAGTTCAACGAAGAAAGGAGATCCTCAGATCCCCTTACTGCCTCCCCTAAGGCTTTAGGTCTCCTTCCTCTCTCCTCGCCACATTGCGGAGCTTAGTAGTCACCCTTAAGATGATATCACTTCCATCAGTCACCCTTAAGATGATATCACTTCAATCAGTCACCCTTAAACCACCAGTACTTGGCGCATACATCAGCCGCGGGCGTTTCCCGTTAACGCGCCGCCACTGATGGGCTTTCGGCCTACCGGACCGCAATGGCTGGAGGCGCCAGCCAGAAGAAAGTCGAAACGGCGCGGCGGCGGCTCGGCAAAACTTGGCGCGCAGGGCATATTCAGGCTCGGCATCAATAGCTGGGCCAAGTACTGGTGGTTTTAGATGATATCACTTCAATCAGTCACCCTTAAGATGATATCACTTCAATCAGTAAGGGTAATCCCTGCCATGTACAGATGTTCATCGGACAATGCATTGCCAATGACTAATATGCTTCTCCCTCCTACCGCCATTGCCTGTCTTCTCTTGAAGTCCGAGTCAAATCGATTCCCTCCTGGGGCTTTGCTGATGCAGCATCAGCCAGGCAAGCGAAGATGAACGTACAGCACCATGATGGCCAAAGGTAAGCTTTCTTCTCGGTTACCTCCTCCTTCCTCCTCCCTCCTCTCACCTACAACTGCCCTCCACATACCTCAATAGCCTCAATTGGGCCTCTACTGCAACTCCCTCCATAGTAGGCGCTCACCCTTTCTTGTCCATAGCTATGGAGCTCTTATCCATCACCCTCAACCTCCGGAATTGCTCACCCGGTAGCTCTGCATCTTGACCCTCTTGGTGGAGTTGCAGCACGACCCGCACTACTCCTTGCCCGGACCGATATACACTTGCTGCCAGGCCTCTAGGCCCTCTACTTCCAGACCCATCTCTCTCACCCTCTACCCATGCACTTGGGCCCAGACTGTAATCCTAAGTAAAGACTTCTAACCTGGACCTGGATATGACTAGATACGTGTCTGGTACCATCATTACGTACTGGAATCCTACCGGACTCTAGGGATTCTCCCAATTGCTGGAAAATCTCCATTGGGTCCTCGGAGAATTCTACTTCTGTCCCTAGCCTTCTGGAATTTTTGACAAGTACTCAGATAGCCAAAATTCAGGTCCATCCCTGTAACCGGACCTGCATGCTTACCTACCCCTGCCCAAGGCACAAAAACAGAGCATGAAAAACAGAGCTAGAACGGGAAAACAGAGTTTAGAGTCAGGCAAACACACCAGCCTACTCATCTGATCAGCAGGTCACACCAACACAGAAAAACTGCAAAATAGACTCAGACTTGGGAAATTAATCTCAGCGAACAGATCCAAGGCATCAACTTCTCTCAGAAAATAAAGATTTCGTCTGCTTGGAATTGTGCAGGTCATTGCACAAAGTTGTTGTGGCAGCCATCAGCAATAGTAGTCATCGTGGTCGTCATGATGGCAGTCATGGTGTCGTCGTGGGAGTAGTTGTGGTGGTAGTCGTGGTAGTAGTTGTGGTAGTTGTGGTATTAGCAGCGGTAGTAGTAGTAGTCATGGTAGTGGTGGTCGTAAGAGTGGTTGCAGTCGTTGCCATAGGAGTCATGGTCGTCGTAGAAGAGGTACTAGTAGTAGTGGTGTGGCAGTAGCAGTGGCAGTAGTAGAGGCAGTAGTAGTGGCAGTAGTAGTGCAGTAGCAGTACCAGTAGCAGCAGCAGTGGCAGTGGCAGTAGAGGTGGCAGAAGCAGAAGCAGTACCAGTAGCATTAGCAGTGGCAGTGGCAGTAGCAGTACCAGGAGCAGGAGCAGGAGCAGTAGTAGAAGCAGTAGTAGTAGCAGAAATAGTAGTTACTGTAGGAGCAGCAGTAGTAGCAGTAGTTGTAGTAGCAGCAGCAGCAGCAGTAGAAGTAGTAGAAGTAGTGGAAGTAGTAGTAGTAGTAACAGTAGCAGTAGCAGCAGCAGCAGCAGCACTAGTGGCAGTGGTAGTAGCAGCAGAAGTAGCAGTAGCAGTAGAAGTTGCTATAGCAATAGCAGCAGCAGTAGCTGTAATAGTAGCAGCAGTGGTAGTAGCAGCAGAAGTAGCAGTAGCAGTAGCAGTAACAGTAGTAGTAATCATTGTCGTGGTAGTGGTAGTAGTCGTTGTCGTGGTGGTGGTAGTAAATAGTGGTAGTAGTAGTAGTAGTAGCAGTCATAGTAGAAGTAGTGGCAGTGGTAGTTATGGTAGTAGTTACTGTAGTAGTTGTAGTAGTAGTAGAAAGAGGCGCGGAGCTGACAGATAGCAGCAGCAGCAGTAGTAGTAGTAGTAGTAGTAGTAGTAGTAGTAGCAGCAGTAGCAGTGGTAATAGCAGTAGCAGTAGCAGTAGTGGTAGCAGCAGTAGTAGAGGTCGCAGTTGTAGTAGTGGCAGTAGTAGTAGCGGTAGCAGTGGTAGTGATAGTAGTAGTGGTAGTGGTAGTAGTAGTGGCAGTGGTAGTAGTAGTAGTAGTGGTAGTAGTAGTAGTAGTAGTAGTAGTAGTAATAGTAGTAGTAATAGTAGTAGTAGTAGCGGTAGCAGTAGCAGCAATAGCAGCAGCAATACCAGTACCAGTAGTAGTAGTAGTACTGGTAGTAGTAGCAGTGGCAGTAGAGGTGGCGTAGTAGAGTAGAGTAGAGTAGAGAAGGGGAGAGTAGAGTAGCGTAGAGTAGAACATCATAGAGTATGGTACAATATCGTATCGTATAGTAGACTATTATAGAGTAGAGTAGAGTAGAGTAAAGTAGCGTAGAGTATCGTTCCATAAAGTATTGTAGAGGGTTGGGCCTAAAGATTTTCAAGAACTTAAAAAAAAAGAGGCCTGGGCCTGTGGATTTCCAAGGGGCGTGAAGCTGGGCCTGGCGCCTGAATCTTGGGCTTGGGCCTTGGCGTTGAGGTTTCCAAAAGTCAAAACAAAAAGGGGGCGTGGGCCTGAATCCGGGACCTAGGGCTAGACGTGGGTATGGGCCTGTTTCCTGGACCTGAATCTGGCCCAGGGTCAGGGCCTTTGGTTCCATGGAGAGGCAGGCGACAGTAAACACAAACAACGGTTTCAAATTCCAACTTTGGTGATTTTCCCCTCTCAGAATAATGCACACGATATACTGAAAAATTGAGATCCTGTAGATTAGGTTGAGATCTCCCGAGGATCTAAAAATTTTTAAAATTTCATTTCGACCGTGAAATAATGGCCGTGATGTTTTGGATCATAAAACGGTCCCCAAAATCAGACAGGGACCCAGTCTACCTCAACAGTTATTTCATCAAGCAATTAGGTATCTCAAATTTGTGCATGGGTTCAAACTTCAAACCCCAGCTACAACCATCGGCAACAAACTTCAAAATATTAGTGTGTGAGCCAGCAGGCAGGCACATGCATGCATTCATGTGGGTGGGCGGCCACACACGTGCGTGCATGCATGTTTTGTTTCACTCTTTTGTTTTTTTCCGGCCCGCCAGAACAACCACCACGAACCCAGGGACACAGACACCTGCATGGCCCCAGAACAGCAAACACCAACCCAGGGAGGCAGGGCCCCACCCCCCGCACGACAACCGCCAACCCAGGGACGGGAGACCTACACGACCCCGAAACAACAAACACCAACCCAAGGACAAGGGGACCTCCAGGACCCTGGAAAGAAAAGAAAAAAACGAAACAACAAACACCAATGCCCGGGAACACGAAACGCCGGCGACACGAAAACAACAGCGCTAGAACTGCGGGACCCCCCCCCCCAAAAAAAAGGCAACACCACATGCCTCACTATCGGACTGCCGACCCTTCAAGATATTCGCGTGCATCAACGCCCACCATCGCACGTTGCAGCTCGTCTCCCTTCGTGCCGCTCTCTCGTTATTCGGCGCACTGTGAACAAACCGGTGGAAAACCGGTGCTGCACGTGCCCCGCCCTTGGATCGGCCCCCTCCGATCGCCTGCACACATTTTCAAGCCTCATTTCGGCGCGCAGCAGACCACCGTTCTCCCCCACGTGGCCAATGCCACCTAGTAAGGGGTAGGATGCTCACAAAGATGACACTGTGGATGCTTTAGAGACCTAGATGTGGGGGAACCATGAGGGCAATATCAGTAAATGAATCATGGAAAGAAGCAAAGGAACTATTAATGGAAACTGAAATCCGGGTAGCATGGAAGCGCACCTTGAATAAGATACTAGACAAAGAACTATTATAGAACACAAGGAAAGACAAAATCCAGAAATTTAAAAGGAATTCGAGAAGGAATGGTTGAAAAATAGACAAAGAAGAACATCTAGAGGAGAGCACAAGAAAAAATATAAAATGACATATTTGTCCGTTTTGACGAAATCGCTGTTCAGTACGAGCCTGAATTACATGAAAAGCGTTGCACTTCACGTACTGGTACAAACAAGCAGTAGACAGGGTGGGTCCTAACAGAAGACAACAGCGTCCCTACAAATCTAGAGGATTAGAAGAACATTAAACTGCAAGTACATGGCCCCAGCCTTGCAGAAAGTTTTTGTCGCCACAACCAAAACTCGGAGGGGTCGTGTGGCGTGGGGCGCTGCAGAAAAAAAAATCGGCGGCCTCCGAAGTGGTGCGGGTTTCATGCTGACACCCGCGGGCCGATGAGTGGTGCACTGGTGCTTCAAGGACCGGGCTAAAGCAAAACCCGAACCTAGGAAATAGCAAACAGATAAGAGGGGGTCATTAGCGAGAATAGTAAATACGGATGAAATTCCACAGATTAGGGTAACCAGGGTCTAGAAGAACAGACAACAGAGAGCCAATCGATATCCCCCAGGGACCTAGGGACAATGCAAAGAGCAGTACGATAACCCCTTCTTACTTTGCTTGCATGAGCAAGTGTTGGGCACCTAAAAATAAGAGGAGGAATACAGTTATAAATAGGTTGCTCTAGAGCGTTTAGAATCCTACTGTCTTCACCCGAATAGAACGTCCGCCGGTCATTATAGCAGTATTTGGGGCAACTTCCAGTCCAGATACCGCGATAATTACCGGGCGTTCTATTCGGGTGACAACGGCAGGGCTTAGGGTTTAGGGGATGACAACAAAAGCGGTCAAAGAGCGACAAGACAGGCAATACATGGAGAATAGGGAAAAAGAATGATAGCTAACGAAGCCAGGTCTTCATACAAAGTCGACAGCCAAACAACTGAGAGGTACAAGTTAGAACTACCTTCTTCCCCCGAATACAACGTACGGTCTTTATAGCTGTATGTGAGGCATCTTTCAGTCTAGATACAGCTATAACGTACGGTCTTTATAGCTGTATGTGAGGCATCATTCAGTCTAGATACAGCTATAATGACCGTACGTTCGTATTCGGGGAAAGAAGGTAGCTCTCAACAATAGGTCACAGTAGCATTCGATTAGAAAATGGAATAGTAGAATAGAGCAACAACCTGAGACGAGTAGTCTAATGAGGCCAGCTTAGGCAGGGGGGGGAAGGGTGATATATCCTTCCTGTAGGAAGTACTCAATGCCGTCCTTCGGGACTTTCCACCATGATAATGGAGAGGAGCGTGTGTCAGTTTTCCATGTAAGATTTTGACTTGCCGGTGGAATAGGAACCGGACTGATGCTCCCCAGAATGGACAAGGAGCCAGAACCATAAGGCTTTTTTTTTTTTTTAAAAGAAATATATAAAAGAAAGAAATGCCACTCTTGATCAATGCCAGCTTCCACACAATCACCATCACCACCATCCTGGCCATTATCATGGTCCTCACCAGCCTTGCTATCTTAGATAGACAGACAAACCGGCAGATAGAGAGACAGACCAACAGACAGACAGACAAATGAGAAGAGAGATAGACAGACGGACCAGACAGACAGACAGACAGACAGACAGACAGACAGACAGACAGACAGACAAACAAACAGCGACGGCAAATAGACAGAATAGACATACAGACAGAACAGACAGCCAGCCAGCCAGCCAGCCAGCCAAACAGACAGACAGGCAGACAGATAGACAAACAGCGACGACAAAGAGACATAATAGACATACAGCCAGCCAGCCAGCCAGCCAAACAGACAGACAGGCAGACAGGCAGACAGGCAGACAGAACTGACAGACAAACGGGCAGACATATAGACAGACAGAACAGACAGACAGACAGACAGAACAGACAGACAGATAGACAAACAGAACCGACGTACAGACAGAATAGACGTACAGACAGAACAGACAGACAGACAGATAGACAAACAGAACCGACGTACAGACAGAATAGACGTACAGACAGAACAGACAGACAGACAGACAGACAGACAGACAGACAGACAGACAGACAGACAGACAGACAGACAGGCAGACAGAACAGACAGACAGACAGACAGACTGACAGACAGACCACGAGCAGATCGATGGACGAGCAGACTGACAGACAGACAACGTAAGTCAATGGACATGCACTTGCCATAACTGATGACCACCATATGCCATTGGGTGGATCCTCTACGTGATTATGTCCTTGGGAGAGAAAGGTGAAGGAGAGGAGAGAAAGGACAGTGGAGGAAAATAGTAGAGGAGGAGAGGAAAGGAAGAGGTTGGTTCGGGGCAGCAATAAATTCAATGATAGTGACAATGCAGGGCATGTATGCGGTAGGGAAAAAAATTGAATACAAAATCGATCTTTTTCTGCTGAGTGGTTACTCGAGCTCCTCGCCTCGCATGGCCCAAGCAAGGCAGCAATGGGCAGGGTGCGTATGCAGTCGGAAGAAAAAGAAGGATAATTTACTAAATTTACTAATTTAGTAATTTAGTACATAATAATAAAATTTAAATTATTATTTTGAATACTTCCATGTGCCCAAGAATTTCAAGGCCCTTGGCTTGCAAAAGGCAAGTAGCCCCAAGGGCCTGAAACTTGCTGAAAGTGATAGTGGGCGCCGCGAGAGTGGATACGCAGCCAGAAAAAAGAAGAAGATCAAATAGAAATACAGATGTCAATCAATCCTGTTTTCTCCATTCAAGAACGTAATTGGCCCGAAATGGATCTATGATGTGAGTGGTGTTTTTTAAATTCAGTTTGGTATTGTAGGTCTCATCTCTGGGGTGATTGCATAACTAGGAAAAAAACAACATAATTATAGTTCATGTTGAAAATTAGCTCATCAAAAAAAGAAAAAGAAAAAAAAAAGGAAGAAAAAAAGGAAAAAGAAAAAGAAACGGCGCGCTCACAGAACAGCTTAGCGGATATAAACTCAGCATAGTACGATCAAAAGAGCAGGCGGTTTAAGAAAATAGGGAGTTGGTATCTATAACAGAGGGAACAGTAGGGTTTAGGGTTTAAGGAAAGCGGCAGCATATGCGCCTCAGGATTTGGTTGCCTTCCTCAATAGCAAAAGATGCCCTGCGTCCTTCGGGACATCCGTTAAAATTGGAACGACACAGAGAAGATTAGCATGGCCCCTGCGCAAGGATGACACGCATATAAAAAATAAAAAAAAGCAAAAGATGCCCTGCGTAGTCGAAGCTAAGAGCCTCTGTGGCGATTGACAGCAGTGTTAGTCCAGTCTCTAATTAGTATTTTCCCCCTTTTTTTGGGAATTGTAGCATTGCTAGTCTAGTCCACTCTTTGGGCTAGGATAGGCAGGCTGAGATAGTGAAGCATGGGGCACTGCTTCATTCCGGGTTGAGATGTGAAGGGATTCCCGGCCTCCTTTTGCATTTATAATAAAGCAATGTGTTTTCTTTAAAAACAAAACAAAACAAAAAAAAAGCACATTATGCAAGGCTCTACTCTGATCGAGGACAAATGTGCAAGAGTACTAGAAGACCACCGATCATCCCAGCATCCCCTTGCTGTGTGGTCCTCTCAGGCGAAGGACATCTCAGAAGATCCATCCTCAGTACTGGTTTTCTCTCAAGTGCCTACTCCTTCCCACTCTACTTCTGGTCCTCGTCTCACCACCGATCGTGCGTTCTCCTTCCCGAGATCAGTCAAGAAGCATTACGTTGTGTTAGACCTGTTAATCCTCTGCCGTGACAAGTTCGAATGAGATTCTTTTCGGTACTCGTTCCGCCTCTGCCGATGTCATCGAGTACAGAAAATTACACTCGGCCTGCGCACATTTGGACATGCCGCATGTCGTTTCCTCCTCTCCTCCTCTCCTCCTCTCCTCTTCCCCTACTCTCTCTCGCCCCTGCGAACACAAAAACACTTCCTGTTTTGCACTCTCTTCTGGAATCAATGCAGACCCTGCAATCGAGGACCTCATAGTACCGGTGGTCTCTTCCTACTCCTCGTGGTCCAGTACTCATAATGCTTGTGGGTTATTGGTAGTACCTGCTCAAGTGGTTTATTCCTGGTACAGGTGCTTATTCCTCGTACGTGCGGTGCATGCATTCGGATTACGCGTGTTTTTTTCTTAGTAATATGAGTGGCACAAGTTTGATGGATCAGTGGCCACAATCATGAAATTTCTCCAGCGGGGAAAGGAGGGTGTCGCAGATCTTTTTTTTTTTTTTTTTTTTTTTTTGTCGCAGATCAAGGACATAGTAATACAAAACATGAGGAGAGGGTTTCGAAGATCAACGGCATATTGATACAAAACATAGAGTACTCAGTCTGATTGTTGGATGATGATGCACTCGAGTAGTACTATGTGAGTAGTATGTGAGCACTTACTAATAGAAGACAAAGGGATGGCGCCAGTCGATTGGCTTATCATGCCAATCGCAGAAGAGTCGCCGAAAGAAGAAGTCATCGGTGTCTGCCCAGCTCCTCCTCATTGCCTCGTGTGCGGTGAGCATGGCGTGGATGCCGTAAGCAGACGTACCCCACGACTTCTGGACCAGCATACGGGAAGAGCATGCAAGGAAATGGACATCGTCGAGAGTGAACTTGCGTGATATCTCCATCAGCACTCTCTCTTGGGGTGCAATACTCACAGAAAAACCACACTCTTCAAGTTGGGGGCTGCTGCCTGTAAGGCCTACTGGAAACCGGATATACATCTCAACACAGCGCAACTGCTCGTTTGTGACCACCTGCCAATCAAGAAGACCGAGAAGCCAGGCAACAGGTATCAGTGACACTCATGCTTGCAAGTGTTTCCAACCTTCGACTCTCAAGTCTCGTCTTTGCCAAAATCATCGAAAAAGAACTTGTTTCCTTGTTTCCTTCACTTTTATGCCTGCTATGCACACACACAAAAAGGCAAGAGAGAGAGAGAGAGAGAGAGAGAGAGAGAGAGAGAGAGAGAGAGAGAGGAGGGAAAACAACAAATTGAAAGCATCTCAGTATTCGAACGCTCTGCAAGAATGAATGACCTCATTCTTTCACGTCGTAATGATGATGTAATGTCACTCACCTCATACCCCCACTGTGCCTCTTCTTCATTGGTCACCTCATACCCCAAGGATGACAAGGCATGCCTCATGCCGTTCTTGATAAACGCCTCAGTGACACCTTTGGGATCTTTATATGCATTGTAGAGAGTGCTGGTGTCTTTCCAGTAATCGACACACAAGATCATCTGCAGGCCATTCATGACAAACCGAAATTTATTCCAAAAGAAAAACCACCGTATGTTTTTGTATCACCTCACAAGTCACCTGATCAGTCCAATCACCGAAGACTATCATAATGAGAAGAGTCAGTGCAGACAACCTGGTCATGAAATGTCTGAAACTCCGACAGTCACTGACAGTGTCTCCACCTCGTACATCCTCACTGGCAAGTCTATTGCATACTAGATGTAGTAGATACCAATGTTGCATTTCTCACGTCAAGTACTACTCGTCTCATTAGAAGTACAAACCGCAATAAACACAGAGTCACAGAGGTACGTCACAGCACAAGACGTACACTACACCTGCATCTCTGCTACTACTACTGCTTCACAGCTGCAGGTGTAGCCTACGTCCTGTGCTTTTCTTTACCCACCCTTGAGGAAGTCACCCTTAAGAAAAGAAAAAAAAAGGGACTCAGTGGAATTTGGGTCACTAAATTAGGTTGCCACGACTGTTGTGATTAGAGTTTCTTGGTGATGAACTTAGATTTTGATGGCAATTTTCGCAGACTTTTAAGTTGTTGGGGCTGTGGAGTTGGCCGTGGGGTGAAATCTAGTGGTGCCCTCGATGTGCTTAGCCGGTGATGCCTTGCCCACTGAGGGCCCCACCTAATTTGGTAAGGGATGCCGGGCGCGGTTCCCGGCTTTTATAAAGACATTGTTCGGTAAAATAAAATATTAAAAAAAAAGAAAAAAAAAAGATATCCATGCGGCCTGTGTGAGGATGACACACATTAATCAAGATTACCAGAATTGAAAATCTTCTAGCTCAAAAAAAAAAAAAAAAAACTCCTTTTCTTTTTCTTTTTTGTCCCACACCACCGAACATGACCCCTGGCCGGTATCGCCCACCTGCTGGTGGGTGCAGCTCCCACATGTTCCCTCTTTGGAGGCTTGAGCACGGATGTGGCTGCTACAGGTTCCCCGTAATACTATAATGACAATAAAAAAGGCATGAAAGCCCGTCCTGTCCAGATTCGACAGGTAATTGAATGGGTAGGTTGGGCTTAAAGAATTGGCCTTTAAAAAGAAGAAACAGAAAAAATAAAAATGACAACCTATTAAATAGTAATTACTAAATTGTAAATACATTAAAAAAGCTAGGGAGATATCCTGGGCGCCCAGGTCCCAACATCACGCTCGGTTTGGCGACCGGGTGACCAGTCGGGCATGGGCCCAGGCAGCCCCAGCGCAAAAAAAAAAAAAAAAAAAAAAAAAAAAAAAAAAAAAAGGAAAGGCCCAGATAGTGAGCCACACTACCGAACCACGAACGGGTTACTGTTTGAGAAGACCAATGTCGTTGACAGACTGTGCGTCCCCAATAGTGAAGAGATCCGTAGTTTGATCCGAGGGGAATGCCATGATACGGAGGGGCACTTCGAATGGCAAAAGACTTTAGCTAACTTAATGATGTCTTACACGTGACCATGCATGAAAGCGGACTGCATAGAATATGTGAGCAGCTGCAAAGTTTGCCAGCGCAATAAGACGACGACTAGAGCACCATTAGGCCTTCTCAGACCCCTGCCTATTCCATTAGGACCCGGAGAGTCAGTTTCAAGGGTCAGAAGTAGGCATGGCAAAAGTCCAGTCATGGTCATAGTAGATCGATTTAGTAAGTATGCAGTTTTTGTTCCGCTACCAGCAAAAGCACGAACAGATTTAGTAATAGGAAAATTCTTTGATTTCTGGGTAAGCGAGCATGTCATGAAGCTGTCCATAGTTAGTGATAGGGACACGCGGTTTACCAGCCAGAATTTGCAATTTTATGAAACAGTATGGATCTAAGTTGTTGATGTCATCAGAAATGAAGTTACACGCATCAGGGACATCTGGAACACTGTGGACAAAGACTGGATAGACCAGTCGATTCTTCATGGAAGACTAAGATACTGCCACCATCAGAAAGAAGCCCTAGAACAAATAATTGACATAGTTCCCTTGGAATGGGTAAGAATTATGAGAAAAGGACCCACTCTTACCCCAAGCGATTGGGTGTCCATATCTGATCAACCAGGATTGGTGGGAAATGTAGTTGAAGTCCGCACTACAGGAGACATTTTGATGTCTATATTTGATCTGGGAGAGGATGGATGCCTAAAGTCAAGACCACAGCAGCAAACCGGATGGTTAAAGAATGACAGACTATTTAGGATCAGGGTCCTAACGATCAAGGAAAAATGGCTGGCCTATAAACTGGACACTCCTATTTCCCACCTCCCCTTAGATCCGGTATGCTGGTCCTGGTCTTCTGCAACAGCCACAGGACACTCTCACAGCAGGATGCTTCACACACTGTCATTCGAGTCCACTTATAGGATGCTTCGTCCCATGGTAAATATAAAGGATAAAATAGAAGATTGATGGATGAAACACCTAAATGTAAGCAAAGAAGAGTTGCGACCAGTTAAGTGGTTCCATTCCATCAAATATAGACCTGCCAAAATGGCATCGCTGCAGTGACAAATCACTCATCGCTGCTTCCCTACTAATGACTGGATTACTGACAGCACCTCGCTCGAACAAAAAGGAATAGCCCTACCCTGATGTAAGTTCTGCAAATCAGCCTTCCCTTCCAAATTAATCCTAGAAACTATAGAACATATTTTCTTGCAATGTCCAGGTTTTGTATGGCTATGGCGCTGGTGAGACAGGATTTGGAACCATGTAGAAACATCCCTCCCCTGGCCATGGAATTGAAAAACTCTTCTCCTCGAGACCTTGAACCCGATCCAAGTGGATAACTTCACATCCAATCTATTTACAATTGGAAGAAGAACGGTCATTTGTGCATTATGGACTAGTAGGTGTACTGATGAGATGGAAGGCGCCATGCTTGATGGTCCCGAATTAGCAGAAACCATTAAGCATCAAATCCAACGAGAAATTACTACCAGATGGGAGTCCCTGAAGGAAAAACTCAAATTTATGAATTCAGAAAAGGACATTAAGCAACACATCAAGACATTTAATCAGAACTGGCTTGGAGGGGACCAAGGAGGGAAGTTGGGACATATGAAATTGGAAGGAATACAAGAGTGTGCTCAGGTGGTGTTCCCAAGAAATTACCGCTTACTCTTCAATGGTTAAAGTAACATTGATTTCATAATCCCAATGAGACCACTATCTGAATTTCCGGACCTTTTTCCTCCTTTTGGTCTACCTGTAGTTCCCAAGTCATGGTGTGTGCCTGACTCAGAAAAGGGCATCGTTCGACACTCCTCGGGGACGCGATTCCGAGGATTTCGTCTTCGTTCGACCTGTCCTCGGAGATGAAATCGGAAATGAAAATGTGAAAACACTCCAAGGACAAGTCCTTCGGCTCCGAGGATTTCCCAGCCAAATCGTCCTCGAACTCGAAGGACCTCGCGAGGTCCTTCGGAGCCCGAGGATCCGTGTTTTACGGAGAGGAGAGGACATGCACGTAGAGAGACGTTACAACCGAGAATTCTGATCGTGGCGGCACCCTATTGGCTGAAAGCCTGAAGCACAACTTTTTTTCTTTTTTTTTAACTTTTATTTTTCTGACATTGCTCCGAGGATGAGTCCTAAACTGATGCTCCGAGGATGAGTGGAACAAAGACGACAAAAACCCTAAACTTTTCCGAGGATTCATCCTCGGAGCCCGAGGATGCCCCGAGGAGTGTCGAACGACGCCCTAAGTACCAGTGTTCATTAAAGTGCTCCTTTTGAAGGGTTTGCTCTCACTCTTTAAACTCTCACTCAGATAAGTATGTGGAAGTGCTAGGTGGACATGCATATCTGGCACCCGTTTCAAGGTGAAGAGGCACAAGAGCCAAACCTCCTCATCCTTTCATATCTCTTCCTATCTTTATGCTCACTATCATCTAATCAGAAGGGATGTTGGGCTCGGTTCCCAGCACGAGTTGTACCTTGTCTTTTCAAATCCTAATGATGTAAAGGGACGCTGGATCCGTTTTCCAGCAGGTGCAGCTCCTCACCAATGGAACGGAGCCATCTATCAAGCTGGGAGAGTAGAGGGGGTGACTGCTCTTATCAACACCTCCTCTACTCCCCGTCATGGGCCGTCAATGACGTTTAAGAAAAAAAAAAAAAAAAAAAAAAGATAGAAGTTCATCTTGACGATCAATACAAGACGGCGTTCAGAACAAGATATGGGCATTACAAGTTCATAGTGATGTCGTCTGGACTAACAAATGCACCGGCCACATTTCAGCGTTGCATGAACGACTTATTAAGGCCATGGTTAGATAGGTTCGTCGTAGAACATTTATACGACATTTTAGTGTTCAACGAGACCCTCGAGGAGCATGAGGGTCATCTGAGGAAGATTCCAGAAAACTTAGAAAAGTTAAGAGAGTCTAACTTTAAAGTCAGTGCAAAGACGTGCGAGTGGGCCAATACAAAAATCCTTTACTTAGGCCACGTATTATGCGGAGACGAAATTCGACCAGAGGACAGTAAGAACGCATCTAGTAGAGACTGGCCAACCCCGAGAACGCTCACTCAGCTACGATCATTCGTAGGATTGGCTAACTACTACCGGAAGTTCGTGCGGAACAGTTACTTCTCTATGATTGTTCCTCCCTTTCATAGACTACTGAAGAAAGAAGCAATTTGAAAGTGGGACTAGGATTGCACCTCGGCCTTCAAGAAATTAAAGAAGGCCTTAATAAAATACCCTGTCCTCAAAGTCGCTGATCGGTCACTACCATTTGTCGTCACTACAGATGCTAGCCAGTATGGCATAGGCGCCGTTTTGCAGCAAGGTGGTGGCAATGGTTGCAGACCCGTAGAGTTCATGTCAACCAGACTGCCCTCAAAGAAAGTTGCAGCATCAACATACAAGAGAGAACTCTACGCTCTCAGGCAGGCCCTAGAC